TTTCCCATGGAAACTGGAGCCGTCAAGAAAAAACAACGGCAGAAATATAAACTTTTGGCGTTCCGCGCAGATTTCTTGCATCTGCGCTGGAACCCCCCTCCCTCGCGCGCGGAGCGCACCAGGGGCGGCGCCAGAGGCGCCGCCGGGGGGGGCCCAGTGTGGACCCAAGAATCCCAAGAAGTCCGCGCGGAGCGCCAAACGTTTCTGTTTATAGCGTTTTCTCTTCTTCGACCGACGGTCACCCCGAAAAATCCAACCAATTATGGTTGTGTCGGGGATATACTGGCCCGGGTCAATCCAGCCCCGGGCCACTCAGGCTTTGCAGGAGCCTGCAGGATCCTGTAGGATCCTGCGCGCCAGCTTGGGTCAGTGCACCACTGACTCTGGAGGATCCTGCAGGATCTGGCGCTCTTGCTGACCCCCGTTGGCATTGACCCCCGTCTCTTGAGGTTGTCTTGTTGTTTTGTGGCTGTCGTGCTGGGAAGGGCGGGGGCCGGCGCCGCCTTTGCGCGGAGGCCGCGCGCGGATATGCATCCCGGCGTGAGGCGGCCGCCCTGCGCCCAGAGGCCCTCCACAACGCTGCCCCCTGAGGAGATCCTTCCTGACATGCTGTGTGGCATCTTGGGGGGACCTCGTCTGTCCCATCGCGCCAATGGTCTGCGCCGAATCTGCGTCGAGTCCATGTCGGCCACGTCGACTCCGTGAACCGCGTGATAACCATTAAGAAAACAAGGTCGTATTCTCCAGCCAAACAGTGCTTACGCTCAGGGTTTCTCACTTCTCCTCTAAAATACTGGGCCTGTCAGCCGTTCTGGCGGTTACGTTGCCGCCGTCGCCGCCACGTCGCCGCCTCGTCGCCGTCCGTCGCCTGAGTTTGTCTGCTGGTCTGGCGGCTATGTCGCCGCCGCCCCCGCCCCTTCGCCACACCGCCCCCGCACAAAACATAGATCCGAATTCGTTCCAAAACCTTCATCACCGACGCGAACGACGCCGTCATCGTTGTCGGCGTGATCGGCAACGGTGCCGTCGTCGCCACTATCATCATCATCGTGTCTACAACTGTCGTCACCAACATCGCCAGAATCATCGCCATCGTGTCTACAATTGTCGTCGTTGCCATGCTACCGCGCCCGCCCAAACCGCCGACTCGCAAACACGTGCCCGCTGGGATGTGCCGAGCGGTCAGCACCGACGCGGCCTCGTCGGTCGCGCCAAACTACCTGGCCGCTGCGCGCGCGCGTATGCGCGGGCTGGCGCGGCCGCAGAGATGCACCAGCCAGCGCCAAGCACTCATCGCAATCGCCGCCGCATGAGGTTTGCAAACCAAGTTGCGGGTGGGTGGATGGGATGTTTGCGCGAGCAGTGGAGTGGACAACTAACTGCGAAGAGAAATGAATTCTCCTTGCAAAAAAACAGAATAGGATTTACCCCCCCCCGGTGTTATCAATTCCCCTTTCGGGTATATAAATCACATACGATTATGACCACATGTCCACCCTAAATATGAATTTACACTATCCCAGGGAGGCCGGTATCCCCCCCTGAGGTTCCCTTGTAAAAAAACTATGCGCTGACATTTGTTGTTCTGACATAACACTTTGTCACGAATCCCTTGCAAACAACGGGACGAAGCGCGCACGCGCGCGTCGTCGCGCGCTTGCAGAAATCCTTCAAAAACCTTCGGTGCCGGAAGGATTTCGCAATCGAGTTCCCAAAAACACATGCAAAAACTCAGGGCTTCGCAACACTGAATTACTTTATATATATATATATATATATACGTATATATATATATAAAAAAACTTCCGCGCGAGCTCTTGGGAAATCTGAAGAAAACCTTAGGTTTTCCCAGATTTTCACAAAATGCTACCAAACGGGCTTCGCGCGCGCATGTCGAAATCTGTCGAACGCCCTTGCGCGTGTGCCGTCGCGAGAACCCTCTGCAAGAAAAAAACGAAGTGCAGACGCGCGCGTCGTCGCGCGCGTACGCCGAAATCCTTCAAAACCCATCGGATCCGGAAGGATTTCAAAATCGTGTCCAAAAAACCTACAAAAACCCCAAGGTTTCGCAACACGGATTTTCAACAATAACGTGCGCGCGCGCTCTTGCGTCGTCGTCGTCGTCATCATCGCTGTCCTCCCTCCCCCCGCGTCGTCGTCGTCGTCGCCTACGTCGTCCTGTTTTTCTTCGTGTTCGTTGTCGTCGTCCTCGTTGGCGTCGTGGTCGTTTCCGTCGTCGTTGTCGCCGTGGTCGTCCTTCCTCCTCCTCCCGCGTCTCCGTCGTCGTCCGTCGTCGGCGTCTCGTCGTCGTCCCTCCTATGTCTTCGCCGTCGTCGTCGTCGTCGTCGTCGTCTTCCTTCCTCCCTCGTCGTTGTCGTCGTCGGCGTCGCCGTCCTTCCTCCTTCTTCGTCGTTCGCGTCGTCGCCGTCCTCCCTCCTCCCTCGTCGTTGTCGTCGTTGTCGTCGTTGTCGTCGTTGTCGCCGTCGTCGTCCTCCCTCCTCCCTCGTCGTCGTCTTCGTTGGCGACGCCGTTGTAGTCGTCGTCGTCGTTGTCTTCGTCGTCGTCGTCGTCGGCGTCGTTGTCGTCGGCGTCGTCGTCGTTGTTGTCATCGTCGTCGTCGTCGGCGTCGTCGTCGTCGGTGTCGTCGTCGTCGTCGTGGTCGCTGTCGTCGTCGAAGTCGTTGGAGACGTCGCCGGTGTCGTCGTCGTCGGTGTCGGCGGCGCCGTCGTCGTCGTTGTCGCTGTCGTCGTCGGCGTCGGTGTTGTGGCCAAGTGCCATCAGGTACCTACCGTCACGGTCTTGTCTTAAGAGGTCTTGCGACCAAGTTGCGGGTGGGAGGGTGGGATGTTTGCACGAGCAGTGGAGAGGACAGCTTCAAGACGGTCAATGATTAATTGCACCACATCGATTCTCCTTTCTAAAAGAGTAATAGATTCTACCCCCCCCCCCCGGACTTATCGGTTCCCCCGCGCGTGCTGTAAATCACATATGATTCTGACCACATGTCCATCCTAAATATGAATTCATACCATCCCAGCCAAGCCGGTATCCCCCCCCCTGCGGTTCCCTTGTAAAAAAACACTATGTGGTGACATTTTTGTTCCAACATAGCACTTTTTCACGAATCCCTTGCAACAAATAGGACGAAGTGCACACGCGCGCGTCGTCGCGCGCGCATGCCGGAATCCTTCAAAAACCTTCGGTGCCGGAAGGATTTCGCAATCGAGTTTCCAAAAAACATACAAAAACACAGGGTTTCGCAACACTGATTTGCTAAAAAAGCTTCCGCGCGAGCTCTTGCGAAATCTGAAGAAAACTATGGGTTTTTCAAGATTTTCACAAAATGTTACCAAACGGGCTTCGCGCGCGCATGTCGAAATCTGTCGAACGCCCTTGCGCGTGTGCCGTCGCGAGAATCCTCTGCAACAAATGGGACGAAGTGCAGACGCGCGCGTCGTCGCGCGCGTACGCCGAAATCCTTCAAAACCCATCTGTTTCGGAAGGATTTCGAAATCGCGCGTCCAAAAAACCTACAAAAACACAAGGTTTCGCAACACGGATTTTCAACAAAAGCGTGCGCGCGCGCTCTTGCGTCGTCGTCGTCGTCGTCGCCGTCCTCCCTCCTCCCGCGTCGTCGTCGTCGTCGTCGTCGCCCACGTCGTCCTCTGTCTTTCCTCGTGTTCGTCGTCGTCGTCCTCTTTGGCGTCGTGGTCGTTTCCGTCGTCGTTGTCGCCGTGGTCGTCCTTCCTCCTCCTCCCTCTCGTCGTCGTCGTCGTCCGTCGTCGGCGTCTCGTCGTCGTCCCTCCTATTTCGTCGCCGTCGTCGTCGTCGTCGTCGTTGTCGTCGTCGTCTTCCCTCCTCCCTCGTCGTTGTCGTCGTCGGCGTCGCCGTCCTTCCTCCTTCGTCGTCGTTCGCATCGTCGCCGTCCTCCCTCCTCCCTCGTCGTTGTCGTCGTTGTCGTCGTTGTCGCCGTCGTCGTCCTTCCTCCCTCGTCGTCGCCTTCGTTGGCGTCGTCGTCGTCGTCGTCGTCGTCTTCGTCTTCGTCGGCGTCGGCGTCGTTGTCGTCGTCGAAGTCGTCGGAGACGTCGTCGGTGTCGTCCTAGTCGTTGTCGTCGGTGTCGTCGTAGTCGGTCTGAACAGGTTTTGCAAACCAAGTTGCGGGTGGGTGTGTGGGATGTTTGCACGAGCAATGGAGAGGACAGCTTCAAGACAGTCAAAGTGGATTGCACCACGTAGATTGCAGCACACAGGCTGCACAAAACATAGATCGTCCAAAACATGGACTGCACACATCATGGGTTGCGCAACACAGATTGCGCCACATACCTAGATGGCACACCACTTATTGCTCGAAGCATAACTTGTTTGGGGCCCACGCTGGCCAACATGCGCAAGATAAGAAAACAACACGAAGATGAAACGTAAGCTTAGGTCGGGCATGTCCCCCTACAGGTGGAATATGGGTTGGAAATTCGCCGGCCCAACGGGCCAGAGGCGTGCTAAGATCTCCGGTAACTTGTTCACAATATTTCTAGTTCGCGCGCGCGGAGCGGCCCCTGGGGGCCCCCGGACGAAAAGTACCCCGGCAAGGTCCCGAGAGAAGCCCGGGAGAAGCCACCAGACCACTCCAGGGGAGGGTATTTTTCGACACCCCTCACGAGGATCGTGGCCTCCGAGGGGGGAGCCGCAATCGACTACCCCCAAGAGCCCCCCAAGAGGCCCTGGGGGCCTCCAAAACGCCGCCAAAGAGCCCCGAGAGACTCCCAAGAGGTCCCCAAGAGGCCCCCAAGAGGCCCTAAAGAGGGCTCCAGGGCCGGCGGCATGAGCGAAGCGATTAAATCATGAATATTGAATGAATACGCAAGAAATAATCAGAAAATCGTCCCCAGACAATTTTTGACTATTCTTGGATAGTTTCTGTAGCAACAACAGGCCCGACTTAAACGTAAGCCGTGGCGCCGCCGGCGACCGCGGAGCCGCCGCGCCCGGGCACCCTGCGCCTCGGCCGAGTCCTCGCACGCGCCCCCGGCCATCTCGCAGCGGAAGTCCAGCCCCATCCCTGCCCCCGGGGGGGGGGCTGGTGGCCGCCGCCGCCACCCGCGGCCGCGGCCGCCGCCGTCGCTCGCAGAAATCCACCGTGGCCAGGCACATGCGGGGCCCTGGCCGCGCCCTGGGGCCGTCAACAACACCTCGGGAGGAACGGCTGGCCCCAGGGAAAGGGCGGGAACTCTTCCGGGGGTCGCGCATGGAACAAGTCAAGGCATCGGGTGTCTGGGTTGTCGTCGTCGCCTAGGTAAGCGGAGGAGGTTCCAAGTGGTTTCTGGACAGCTCCCAAATGTCTTCTAGATGTTCTCGGGGGGTCCACAAGAGTTCCGAGGCGGTCGAGAGGTGTCATAACCTTGCAGAGGCCGTCAGCGATGTTTCTGAAGGTTCCTGGCGGCATCTCAATCTCTGTACAAACCCCTCTCTCTCTCTCTCTCTTTTCCTCCCTCAGATTCTTTGCCAGGGGAGGAGGGGCGGAGGTGACGATGCTGGGAACCGGGGAGAGAGGAGGGAAAAACGGGAGGGGGGAGGGAGAGGGATGAGAGAGTTGCTTTTCCTACTACGACGAGCGGCTTTGCGATGCTGACCGCTCCGTGGGGAGGAAGCGGGGGGAGGGAGGCAATGGAGGGGAGTCGGGGGTACTTGAATTGCGGGAAGGGGGCAGACGGGGACGGAAGGTCTGTCCTCTCTCTCTCTCTCTGTCTTTCTCTCGCTTTCTTTTGATGATTCTCTCTCTCTCTCTCTGGCTCGATCTGCACCCACTGGTCACCTCAAAATGAATGTACCTCTGATCCGCCTCTCCCACTCTTCTCTACATGTCTCTCCATCAGTCTCTTCTCTGCATGCATGTATCTCTCGCTCGCTCTCTCCCTCTCTCTCTGACTGGCTCTCTTGCTCACCGTCTCACTCTCTCTCCCTCTCTGTCTCCCTCTCTGTCGCAGACTCTATCCCTCGCTATTTCTCTCTGTTTATCTTTCTCTTCCTCCCTTTGTTTGTCTATCTCTCAATCTCTCTCTATCTCTCTCCCTGTCGCCCTATACTTCTTCTAAGCACATCTATAACATTAGCCAATGTATCCCATATTCCTCCCATTCTGCGTCCACTCTCACTATCCACTCCTCCTCTCTCCCTCTACCAATCAATATGTACCAATCACTCCGCATCTCTGCGTATGTACCCCTCTCTCGCTCTTTACGTGTGCACGTATATACGTTTGTCGGAACGCATGTACGCGTTTACCCCTGCATTATCCCCTCCCTCCCTCCCTCCCTCCGTGTAAATATGTACATCTCTGTATATCCATATCTCTCTGTCGCTTTGGCTCAAGAACCCAACTCTTATGAATGTAATCGTGTATCTCTTCGTCATACATCTACATACGCCGGGCAGCCGCTCATACTGTATACAAGATTTGCCAGCGTGGACCGCAAACAGGAAGTCATTGCACTTGCATGTGTAAGCTGTGTGGTAGAAACTGTGTAAGAAGGCAAAACGGCGGCACCAACTGGGCACTAGCCGAAACAACGACACGCCAACCCATCGCACGAGGCGGCAACGAGGCGGCACCAACTGGGCACCAGCCGAGACCCCCGACACACCCTGACACCAACTAGGCACCAGCCGACACCAACTGGGCACCAGCCGAAACCCCAACTGGCCACCACACACACACCGACCCCAGACCCCGGCATCAACCCGACGCACCGAAATCCCGAACACCAGCCAACTCACCGAAACGCCCACACAGCGCACGAGGCGGCAACGAGGCCGGCAACGAGGCGGCAACGAAACGGCCCAAACCGAACACAAACTGGAAACCAGACACAGAGGCGGCAACGAGCCGGCACCAGCTGGGCACCAGCCGAAACACTGACACACCTCCAGCGCACGAGGCGGCAACGAGGCGGCAAGGAGGCGGCACCAACTGGGCACCAATTGAAACCCGACACACCCACACAACGCACGAGGCAACAATGAGGCGGTAACGAGTCGGCACTAACTCGGCACCAACTGAAACCTCGACACACTCATCCAATCCCTCGATTACCGAAGTAGTAACCCCCAAGTGCACGGTGCGTTTAGGGAATACTGGGAAGCCTCTGGATGCGATCTGCATATGCTTATACACGTGGATAATGTATGGTTATTTCTAGATGTGTGCGTATCCGAAATGTGAATGTATATATATGTGTGTGTTTACATACATCTATGTAGATGTATATGTATACATATGTAGGGCGACAGCCGCCTCCCCCCACGTATTACTTACACGCGCGCACACACACAAACCAGTTTGTTCGATGAGAGCGTTCCCGGTCCTTCCCAAACGCTATGGAGCATCCACTGCAGCACTGGCCACGGTTCAGTGTCTGCGCTCTGCTCCCGTGGAGCAGAACAACGGCGCTCTTGCCCCAGCGCGGCCCGCACTTCTGGATCCGATTCCTTCCCCCCGTCCGACTGGACCTCCTGCTCCGTTTTTTTCCTGCTGCTTGCCACACAAAATACCTCCCCCTTTCCTCCTCATCATGATCCTCGTCCTTCTGCTCATCCTTGTGCTCATCCGCCGCCCCCTCCGCCTGAAACTCTCCACGTCCCCCTTCTCTGAGTGCCCACGACACGAATGGGGTAACTGTGAGGATCAAGGTCTCCTAGGATACATACCCCAGTTGGCGAACAGGAATGAACTCGGCGCAATGGGAAGGGATGCGCGGAATGGACTGGATGACAGGAGTGGCACGAGAGCACATGGCTAGCCCGTGTCCTAACTCCCTCTCTCTTTTTCTCTCCCTCCCTCTCCCTTTCTATGTGCCCCTCTCTCTACACATTACTCTCTTTCGCTCTCTCTCTCTCTCTCTCTCTCCCTCGCTCTCCCTCTCTCTCTCTCTCTGGTTGTGAGCCCCCTCTCTCTCTCTCTCTCTCTCCCTCCTTGCTCCATCTCTTCCTCCTCCCCCTACCCAGCGATGAGGGGAGTCGAAAGGGGAGAACAACGACTTGGAATCCATGATGCATCGCCGATGGATCGGCGATGGGACCCCGATGAGGAAACCCGCGTTCCCGGGCATCCAGGCCCCGATGGACGAGGACTGGACGGTTGCGGGTCCATGCCCCCCCCTGGAGCCGATGCCGCCCTGTCGGCGCCCGTGAAACTGGCACCACTCTCTTCCTGACGCCACCCAGATGGGCACTCGGTAAGAGGGGACTGTTGTAGGAGAACGGGATCCACGCCTACAGATCCGCTGCCCGAGGCCTGGCCCACGCTGGGCCCCGGAGCAGTGCATGCGCATGCCTGCCCAAGCCAGGAGGGCTCGGCCCAGGACGGGCCAGGCCTGGGGCAGTGGATATGTATAGGTCCCGCCGCCCGATCCTGCCCATGCAGGAAAGCGCCGCTCTCCTGTGCCCCCACGCGCGGGGAGCGTCGCTTCCCTGCCACGCGCCGCCGACGCACCCCTGAACCTTTGGTGGTTCAAAGACGGGGCCCTCATGGATGGGGACCTCATGTAAGGATACAGGCCTCGGACACAATAGTTAGCGAGCACGCGTGCCACATTCATCGGTCAACGCCTCCCCCTCTCCCCGATGCTCAAAGTCGGCGGTGGGTCCGATGAGTTGCATTGGACCGCAGTTTCCCCCGCGCGTGCCGACTGTGAGCTTGGGGGAGCGGGGGGTTGCCCCCTGATTGTTTCCCCCTGCCGAATGAGAGGAAGTCGGACCCTTTCCCCCTCTGAGCTCCAGCCCGCCTCGAGGCCTGTGCCAACTTTGAGCTTGGGGGGGCGAGGGAGTGCCCACTAATTGTTTTCCCCTGGCGTAGGAAGGGACCCGAGGGTGGCTTCACGCTGCTTGAGGCGCCTCGTCCTGAGGAAACCGCCACTCAGGACCCCAGCTTTGAACCACCGGCACTTGGCACCCGCCTCGGCGGCGCCGACCCTTTCCGCGCCCAGACCAAGCGTTAGGTCGGGCGTGTCCCCCTAGAGGCGGCTTTCAAGGACAAATTATTTGGCAATGCTCAAAAAATACTCCCCAAATGTTCGAGAATGCTTTAAAAAAACGTCCCCATACTATTTGCGGCTATTTCTAAATATTCCTCCTGTAGAGGGACAGGCCCGACTTAAGCCAAGCGCCGCCGACCGCGGACCGAGGGGCCGCCAAACGGGCCGGCCGCCGACCCCTTAAGGGGGCCCGCTGCAACAGGCCTAGGCCCCGGAGGCCTCCGTGTCGCCCGCGCTGGAGCCCGGATGCTCTCCAGACTCTGGCAGGTGCACCAGCAGTGGAGAGGAGTGGGGACGTCAGGAGGAGGAGGAGGAGGAGGAGGAGGAGGAGGAGGAGGAGGAGGAGGAGGAGGAGGAGGAGAGGAGGGGGGGAAGGAGGAGGAGGAGGAGGAGGAGGAGGAGGAGGAGGAGGAGCAGGAGGAGGAGGAGGAGAAGGAGGAGGAGGATAAGGACGAGGAGGAGGAGGAGAAGGAGGAGGAGGAGAGGAGTAGGAGGAGGAGAAGGACGAGGAGGAGGAGGAGGAGGAGGAGGAGGACGAGGGGGAGAGCGAGGGAGAGCAGGAGGAGGAAAAGGAGGAGGAGGAGGACGAGGAGGAGGAGAGGAGGAGGAGGATGAGGAGGAGGAGGAGGAGGAGGAGGAGGGAGGAGGGGAGAAAAGAAGGAGGAGGAAGAGGAGGAGGAGGAGGAGGAGGAGGAGGAGGAGGAGGAGGAGGAGGAGGAGGAGGAGAGAGAGGAGGAACAGGAGGAGGAGGAGGAGGAGGAGGAGGAGGAGGAGGAGGAGGAGGAACATGAGGAGGAGGGCGAGACCCGAAGGTCATAGTAGTGCCGCGCAGGTCGGGGCTCCCTCGCACGCCTGCTCGGTCGGGCGCTCCCCGAAACGGGCGGCGCCGGGTGGGGGCTGGGAGGTGGAGCGACGAACCGCACATCCTTCCTGCCGTGCCGCGGCGCCCCACACTTTCTCCCACGGACTCGCTCTGAACCCCGAGCTTGGACGAATTCCCCAGGGGGCCGCAGGCGACCCGAGGGAAGGGCGAGGAGGAAGAGGAGAAGAAAGAGGAGGGGGAGGGGGAGGAGGAGGAGGAGGAGGAGGAGGAGGAGGAGGAGGAGGAGGAGGAGGAGGAGGAGGAGGAGGAGGAGGAGGAGGAGGAGGAGGAGAGGAGAGGAGGAGGAGGAGGAGGGAGGAGGAGGAGGAGGAGGAGGGAGAGGAGGAGAAGGAGGAAGAGGAGGACGAGGAGGAGGAGGAGGAGGAGGAGGAAAAGGAGGAGGCGGAGGAAGAGGAGGAGGAGGAGGAGGAGGAGGAGGAAAAGGAGGAGGAGGAGGAGGAGGAGTGTCATGAGTGTCGTAGATCCACAATCAGGGGGGCGTAAGACCCGGGTACAGGGGACTCGGAAATCCCCGACGAGGTCGTTAAAAAAATGACGAGGCCGAGCCTGCATTTTGACGAGGCCTCCCGCTGCAGACATCCCACGAAACTCCTACTCGTCAAAATCCGAGTCGCGGTCGTCAAAAAACGATGGCGAGCCCGAGTCCTGGCAAACCCGGGTCTTACGCTCCCCCGACACAAGTGAACGGCGAGCGAAGCTCAACCGTCACCCTCGGCCTCCCAGACAGGAGGAAGGGGCCCGCAGGCGCAGCACCGACGGTCATGGAAAAAGTTGATACCTCGTCGCTCAGCGACTCGCTGCCCAACCGAGACGGCGTGGTGCGTAGGGGGACAGCCGGTTCACCGCGTCACCGCGCAGTACTTCCGACCGTCACCCCTGCCGCATCGGATGGCATGTTCAACTGGGTTTGTACCCCAGGGTGAGCGGACACAAAGTCCTAAGGGACTTACGGACCACATGGCCCCGCCTCTCAACCAAATGCGCACTCCCCGTGCCTGGTACCCATCTCCAGGTCACGGGCGCAGCTAACGCGCCGCTGCCACGGGCAAAGTGCCACGTGGCTGGTGCAAAAACGACGAAAGCCCGTTTATCTGCCCCCAGCCGCCGCATGCAATTGACACTGACAGTGTGCCCCGAGGAGTGTGTGGCGCTGACACCATGAGAACAGGTGCACACGTGCCAGGCCCCCCCCCTCGGGGTAGGAGGAGGAGGAGGAGGAAGAGGAGGAGGAGGAGAAGGAGGGGGGGGAGGAGGAGGATGAGAGAGGAGGAAGACGGGTCGCCTAAGCCCTTGGGAGGAACCCTCCACCCAAACAGCCCGTCAAGGGCCCCTAGGGGCCGAAGATGAGGAGAAGCCGTCGGTCGTGTTTGGCGCTTGACGACGCAACACGAGAACCTGGGCTCGGGCCCTTCGAGAGACAAGCGAAGGCCGTCCACAGCCATTGGTCCCGGACACCCTCCGATCTGTTTTTTCAGCGCGCGGCAAAAAGGATGGTCCTTACGTCAGGTTCGTGCCGTGCCGACCTCGGCGTTGGTTTCTGACACCGCGGGGATCGTTCAACCTTGAAAGCTCGGCCGTTTCCGAAACGTCCAAATCGTTCCACAACGAACGATTCTGGGTCGCCCGCGGCGTTCAAAGTTGAACGCCGCTGACGGGGTCGCCGCTAGTCGACACGACACGAACCTACCGTACACCTTCCCTATTCCCCCGGGCAGTTTTTGGCGTCCCGGTTTAATTTCTGATAGTTCCAAAGCCTTTTTGGTTGATGGCTCACCGAAGAACGCCTGCTTGCAAAAAAAACGTTGGAAATCTGCGGTGGCGCCAATGCCGCCGTGCCGCAAGGCATTCCACCAGATCCAACGTCGCGAAAAAATCGGCATATTGGTCACGACAGGAGCTCTGATACCCGATCTGTCAGCTGCATTTTCCGAGCCCGATCGCTCTGTGGGGCCCAGGGCCCGAAACTGGGCGAAAATGCTCGGTGTGACGAAGACTGCGACGCCTGGATCTCAGGATTAGTGGCGCCACTGCCGCCGCGCCGCGAGGCAAAGCTCTTTTCTGGCGCCGCTCAGCACCGCCTCGCGCTCAGTCGCAGCGCGCCCAATCGTCGACAGCCGGGCCCGCGCCGGGCGCCGGCGGCGCCGCGAGGTCAGGGCCCGCGGCGTCCAGGCGGGCCACCGGGAGGAGGGGGCGGATGGGACGAAGCCGGCGCCGGACACGGCGGCGGCGGCGACCACGCCGGCGGCCGCGACCACGGGCGGCCACGGCCGCGGCGGCGGCGACGGCGGCGACGGAGGCGGCGGCTGCGGTGGCCACGGCGGCGGCGGCTGCGGCGGCGGCCACGGCGGCGGCGGCGGCGGCGGCGGCCACGGTGGTTGTGGCGGCGAACGCGGCGGCGGCGGCGGCGCAAAGGCGGCGGCTGCGGCAGCGAACATGGTGGGGGGGCGAGGACAAGAGCAGCGGCGGCGACGACGGGCGGGCGGGTCCGCCCCGACGTCGGCCAGGCCGAAGACGCAGCGGGCCGCCAACGCCGCGATCGCCGGCGCTGCGGCGGCCTGGCCTGCGGCGTCCGGTGTGCCGGGCCCGCCGGTGGCACCGCCACTTGGCCCTTGCCTGCGCCGCCGTCGGAACTGCCGGCGCAGACTTCGGCGTCGGGTCCCGCCGCCGTCCCTGCCGAGGCAATCTTCGTCGCCGCCGCTTCCGCCGCAGACTTCGGCGTCGGCCGCCGCCGTTGCCGCCGCCGCCAGCGTTGTCGTAGCCGCCGTCGTCGTCGTCGCCGTTTCCGAAGCCGCCGCCGCCATCATTGCCGCCGCCGCTGCCGCGTCAGACTTCGGCGTCGTTGGGCTGGCGTCGTGGCCGTCGGGGACGTCGTGGCCGTCAAGGTGTCTTCTGCCGCTTCCGCCGCCGCCGTCGCGGTCGTCGCCGCCGCCGTTGTCACCGCCGTTTTGGCCGTCGTGGCCATCGTGCCGCCGTTTCCGCCGCCGCCGCCGCCGTCAATGTTGCATTTGCCGCGTCTGACGTCGGCGTCGTTACCGCCGCGGTGGCCTCGGTCGTCGCAATATTGTCCCATTCGTTCCGCCCCCCTTTCTCGGAAGCTCCCCCATCATTCCCCAGCCGCTCTTTACTCTCCAAGAGGTTTCAAGAGTGGAAGGTGGAGCACGAGGAAGTGCTGTACCATGGCCGGTTGTGTTCAGGCCAGTTTGACACAGCCGCGTAGCCACCGAAGGGTTAATAGCCAGCGAACCTTCAAACAATAGCTATCAAAATCACGAACTCAGGACCGTGCGTTGTTGCACCTTCAGTTGTGAGGGGCAGGCTTGACGCGAGGGTCGCAAAACAACTTTAAAACGGATGTCGGCACCTTCTGCTTGGCCACCACATATCCCGTCTACGCACTGCTTTTCTCAGGCCCTCGACCTTCGACATTCAACCCCTCCGGCAACACAGAAACACGCCTCCGAGATCTGCCATGTCCCCGGCTTTTAGGACCCCGCCGCGTTCTTAGAAGGCCGCTCCCCCTCGCGCCACCCCCTTGCGCGCACCGTAAATTCCGGCAATGCCACCGAGGTTTACCACTGAGCCTCGAAGGCCCAGGAATCGAACAAATAGTTATATAGAAACTTGGCGATCTGGCGGGGCTTGTGGGGACACCAAACAGCATCGATAGGGCTACTCCCCCGACCTCTCCTGGGGTGCATTCTGACCAGAAGTCCGATGCGAATCCAGAGAGGGCCTCCCAGGAGACCTACGAAGGCGAAAGCGAGGCACGTGCTGCGGTACGGGCACCTTTTCTCTCTTCTACATCTGAAAAGATCCTGGAGACCCCTTTCCGCCAGACCCCCGAAGATACCCACCCGTGTTCACGACTTTTCCGCGGCCCTCATACCCAGAAACCTCGAGCCATTCCCCAAGACAGGATTCTCATCCCGAGTCGCTTCGTTGACGGCCCCGAGGGCCGAACAAGGCCCCGAGGGGCCAAAAATAACAAAAAATGTCCCGTCGTGATTTTTTCATGACTCGAGGGTACCAGAACCTGGGTATAACGAAAAATACAGACGATCTCAAAAACCCGTGGCTTTTGATTATGATTACCCGCGGGTTGCTTTATGCCCGCGCAAATTGGGGCCTCCACGCCGCCCCTGCCTCAGCCCCTGGGTGTGGCCGCGACGCCGCCCCGCCCGCTGCCATGGGTGCAGCACTGGCTGGCCGTCCCGGCCGCTCCGCGGCGACGCCCGCCATGTGAGCGCCCTCCTCTCCCCTCCTCCCGCCGCGCGACCATATCTTAGGAGGCAGCTACTGGGAGGTTTTCATCGGAAAGATTAAGGAGGATTAAGCCCCATTTGGGAGCTGTTACGCCAGAGTGGGCCTGGGACTAAGCGGGATTAAGCGGGATTAAGCGGGATTGAGCCAGACTTCAGACCAGTGCAAAATCAGAATTTGACCTCCCAGGAGTTGCATCCCAACATGTCCGCACGTTTGGTCCTCCTGCCGCCGGTGAATTCACGCTTTCCGTTGCCGGGGCCACCCGAGCGCGCGTGCGACATACAAAGTCTGGGCCTCGAGGCGGTGGCACCGCCAGCTCATGGCGCCACTCTCCTCGCCATGCGCCCCCCCCCGGCACCTCGAATGCAGTGGGGAAATCAAAAGGTACCCATGCCAGTGCTCCCCGGACCTCTCCCGGGGTGCGCTTTTGACCAGGATCCCGAGGCGGATCCAGCGGTGGCGACGAGGGCCTCCCAGGAGGCCGAAAAAAGGGTGAAAGCAGTGAAGGGCAGTACCTCCTCCTCCTCCTCCTCCTCTTCTTTTTCTTCTGCTCTCCTTCCTCCTCCTTCCTCCTCCTCCTCCTCCCCCTCCTCCTCCTCCTCCTCCTCCTCCTCCTCCTCCTCCTCCTCCTCCTCCTCCTCCTCCTATGTATGCCCCCTCGCGGCGCGCGGCCCGCCCGGCGGCCTCCCGGCGGCCCCTCGCCGAGGAGGCGGAGGAAGACGCGCAGCAGCTCCTCGGGGAAGGGCGCCCCGGACCCCCCTCGAGCCATGGAAAAATCACGACGGGAGGCTCTTCTGCTCGCCTCGCTCTCCGCCCTGCTCTCCCCCCCTCCTCGTCTTCCCCTCCTCGTCCCTCTCCCTCCCCTCCTCGTCCTCCTCCACCCCCCTCGCACCTCTTCCTGCTCCTCCTCCTGCTCCTCCTACTCCTCCTCCTCCTGCTCCTCCTCCTCCTGCTCCTCCTCCTCCTGCTCCTCCTCCTCCTCCTCTTCCTCGCCCCTCCTGCTCCCTAGCGTCCTCCGCCACCTGCTCCCCAACATCCTCGTCCTCCTCGCGACGTCGCCGTCTTCGGGGTCGGCGGCACCGGCCGTAAGGCCTTCGCAACCACGACGGGAGGCTCTTCTGTACTTTCGGCTCCTGAAGGCCCTTACCAACCCTCGGGGCTGTCCACAAGGACTCAAGATGAGAAACCGGTACCGGGGAAGGGGTCGACACCTCTGGGGGTCAAGGCCAGAAAAAAGTCATGAACGCGGGGGTCAGGGAAGAACACGTTTTATTTGTTTCGCGATAGCGGCCATCACGGGCCCTGGCGGCCCCCCCAAATAACGTTACGATTCGTGCTGACCTCCGAGTTAGCCTCGGTTCTTCCTAGACATTCCCAGACGGCGCCGGCGCGAAACGAGACGTTACGGCCCCTACCACCCTCTCCCCTGGGGTAACGCCAGTTATCGCCCGGGACTGTATAACAAAAAACGCTGCACAAGCACAGAGAATCACCATGGCCGAGGGGCAAAACAATATCGATGGCACGCCGCCGTTCAGGACCCATCAGCGTGTTCATGTTGAAGAAACAGCGGGCCTCTGGGAAAAAAACGCACAAGTGGCACGCTGACGGGCTACCAACGCCAGCGTGCCAGTCTCTCTCTCTCTCTCTATTTCTCCCTCTCTTCCCCACCTACCATAAGCTCAATGCGATGTCTCTGGCCAGCGGCGAGACCAGGGGGAAGGCAGATGCGGACGGGCCTTTCCAGAGGGCTCGGAAGAGCTCCGGCCTCCCGAAAAGCTTCCTGGGTCTTCCCGGTAGCCACCGAGGGCCCTTCAGAAGGTCGGAGGAGTTCTGAGGGGCCCCGCCGCCTTCTGGGAAGGCCTGCCCCCCCCCTCACCTTCCCCCCCCCGGCGCGCCGCCGATCTGGGACCAGCACCCTGGAGCGGCCAGCCCGGGAGGGGGCCGCGCGCACTTCTGCCTGCAGGCTGCCGCGCTGCGGGTGCACGCGCTGGTGGGGTCCAAGGCCGTGCCAGGCCAGGGGCCCGGGGGCGCGCGCTCTCCTGAGGGGCAGCGGTCGAGATGGGGAGACTGGCACAGGGGGGGACATCGAGCCCGGAATCGGCAAGACGCCGCCGATGCATCGGTGCTGGAACTTCGATGGCGAATCCACACGTGTCTGGGCAGCTTGGGGCCATCGGGCCCCTATCGGCGATCGGCGGGCGCTCTGCGGTCGATGAGCCCCAGGCCCCCCGACGTCATGACTTTGTCATTACGTCGACCCCCGAAGGTCCAGACCCATTCCCTGGGGCGGGCTGCTCATCCTGAGTCGTTGTTTGACGGTCCCGAGGCCCGGTAAGGGCCCCCTAAGGCCGAATACATATATATATATATATACACATATATATATATACACATATATATACATACGTATACATAAAAGGACAAAAACAAAAAAAACCTCCCGTCGTGGTTTTGTCATGACTCGGGGAGGTCTGGGATCGTTGCTCCCGATCTCTGTCGTGCGAGCATCTGGCGCGCCGCGCAGCCGACTGGGGCCCGGCAAGGCCATTTCTAGAGCTGTGGGCCCAGACGTCCGACGATGGGAGGTCTTGCAGTCCGCGGCCCCCACGGATCTTCCGACCGTCTCCTCGATCACTTCCCAAGGGGGGGGGAGGAAGGCACCCAGACATGATCGCGTCGTGAAAAAATCAGGACGGGTGGTTTTTCACAATTTTCGGGCCCTGGGGGCCCTCGCCGGGCCTCGGGAGCGTCAAAAAACGACTCAAGATGAAAAGCCGGTCCTGGGGAAAAGGTCCAGACTTCCGGGGACGCCGTCCTGAAAAAATCAAGACGTGGCATGCCTGGGTACTTCACCCCGAACGAATTAATTCCACTACCCCAAGAGGCCGAGGTCCAAGCGGGGGCGCAGCTGTTTCCTGCGAAGTGCACGATTTTCTGCATGCAGTCGTGAAAACGCCACCATGCAGCAAAACATGTAGCAAAACATTCACTCGTGACACGGAAGTGGGACAGGAGTTAGGTCGGGCGTGTCCCCCTACAGGCGGATTTTGGGCGACAAGTTGATCATCCTCAGGAATATTCAAAACATACACCAACATATTATTAAAAAACGTCCCCGGACTATTGTTTGACTATTTTGGAATCTTCCCCCTGTAGAGGGACAGGCCCGACTTAAGATTAGAGGCGGCGGGCGACCCGCAAGAACGGCGGCAACGACACACCGCCGAGAATTCGCCGATCGACTTTCGCAGATGGCGGGGACCTCCAGCCGCCTGCGAGTGCAGTGACAAGGCGAACCACAGCACGACGCCAAGGATGCGCAGCTTGTTTTTTTTGGGGGGGGGGGGGGGCGCAGCAGCAGGGAGGGTGCAGCAACCACAGCGGGGGGAACAGAGGCCTCCCAAATAGGGTCCGAGCATATTAGAAGAAGAAAACAACGCCATACGCATAATGTGTGTCGCTCCGCGCGGATTTCTTAGATGGTGCTGGAGAATTAGAAGACGAACGAACTACATAAAAATAAACGTTTGGCGCTCAGCGCGGATATCTTGGATGGGGTCGGAGAATTAGAGGAAGAAGCAACTACATACACATAATATTTTGGCGCTCCGCGCGTTTTTTTTTGGATGGGATGGGAGAATTCGGGGAAGAAGCAAAACTATATAAACATAAACTGTTGGCGCTCCGCGCGGATTTCTTAGATGGGGTCGGAGAATTAAAGGAAGAAGTAACTACATAAACATAAACTTTTGGCGCTCCGCGCGCAGTTCTTTGATCCGCGGAGCGCGCCAGGGGCGGCGCCAGAGGCGCCGCTGGGCGGCGCGGATCCAAGAAATCCGGGCGGAACGCCACAAGTTTATGTTTATGTGTCTTCTCAAAAGAATGGCGCCGCACCGCCGATGCATCGCCGAAGTATCGGCGAGGCTGGCGATGCATCGGAGTAGAGACGAGCGGGCTCCATATCGAGCCGCACCGCCGATGCATCGGCGATGCGCCGCGACCCTCGGGCCACATCTGCTCGTACCCCCTCTGGGAGGCAGGGAGGGAGGCAACAATCCCAAAACCCATCCGGACAAACATAGCCAGGGATCCTCAGACGCGCCGTCGACCTCTGCCGACGGCACCATCTCTGAGGACTCTTGGGGGCCGTTTTGATGCATCTTGGGGCCTCTCGGGGGCAGTTTTGTGGCCTCTTCTGCTGGGCATCTTGGGGGCCTCTTTTGGGCCTCTTTTGGCCCTTTTGGGGGCCTCTTGGGAGCCTCTTTGGGGCCTCTTTTGGGCCTCTTGGGGGCCCCCTGGGGGCCTCTTGGGAGCCTCCTGGGGGGCCTCTTGGGAGCCTCCTGGGGGCCTCTTGGGAGCCTCCTGGGGGCCTCTTGGGAGCCTCTTTGGGGCCTCTTTTGGGCCTCTTGGGGTCCCCTGGGGGCCTCTTGGGAGCCTCCTGGGGGGCCTCTTCTGGATCTCTGGGGCGTCTCTGCCTGCCAAGAGCCAGAGAGCCTCCGCGGTGCGCTCGGGCGCGCATGCGTACCGCACGGCGGGCGGCGGCTCCCGCACCCAGACGGCCACCCGGGCCCAGGCCCGGCGTGTGTAGAGCACGCAACCGCAGTCGAAACTCGGGGGCAGCTGCGTGCCCTCGAGGCCCACGAAGCCTGCGCACGAGAGATACAGAGAGATAGACATATAGATAGACAGGCAGCCAGACAAGCAGACAGGCAGACAGAAAAGTGCGTGTGTGTATATATGCATACACGTATAATAGACATACGGATATACATTACTTTATTATACACACATATGGATGGATATGTACATATATATATATATATATATATATATATATGTATCTATAGAGGGATCGATAAAGAAGCACAAAGGCATGATATATCGGGCAGGCACGTTCAGCGTGTGTATATACACATGTGTAAGGAAAGAGGGAAAGAGGAAGAGAAAGAGAGAGAGAGAGAGAGAGATCCTGACCCCCATTGAACAAACGTCGGCCACTATGGCCTGCTCACAGCCATGCCTACAGCATGCACCGCCGAACGGGAGAGCGCTTTCAGGCCAAGAAGCAACGCAAAGCAAAACGGCGAGTGTCACATTCGAGTGATACCGGTAGGAGTCGGCAAACTGTGGAAGTCGACGCCACCAGACTCTTTGAACAGGTCGCGTGCGGCTACAAACTGATCGTGGTACTTCGTCGCTGCATGGCTTCACCTGGAACCAAATCCGCCACCGTGGTTTCAGCACGTATAATGGGATGCCCCGGTGCTCATACACATGGAACGCGTGTATCAAACATACAGCCGCATCCACAAGCCTGGGCCGCCAGTTTGCAAAAGTTCAGGGCGCTCCTGGGAGCTCTCGGTGCTTGCCAAGGAGGCCTTCCAGCAACTAAACCCGCATTAGACCCCGAGGGGAACTCGAACTGCCACTTGGAGCCATCCACCCCGAGATGGCCCCAAGAGACGGCCATCGGGCCAGCCAAAATGACCCCGAGAACCCTCCAGGGGATCCTAAAGAGGCCCCCGGGAGTTGGTCAGGACAAAAGGGGTCTTTCGTAATGGGGTCGCAGAGGCACAATGCAATAGTTCATCCTGTGACGCATCGCGCGTGGTAGCCACGCGCGGATGAATCACGACGTGCGCGTCCCGCACGAACGACTGCACGAACTATTGTATACTTTTCGAGACCTCCTTTGAAACGAACCCCAGCAGCCCAAATCCGAAGGAGGGCCCCCGCAGCTCCCGCGTCCGCCCCAGAGGCCGCGGATCGCGGCCCAAGCACGTGGTCGGATGCGCCGCGGGCCTCCTGGACCTCGGGCGTGGGCACAGCTTCATGTCGGGTGTTGCTAGAAGTGCCCCTGGCCCAAGGTGCACCCAGCTTTCGCTCCATTTTGGAGCCCCTGGGTCCCCCTGGGCCTCGTGAGGGGTGCCCTGGAGGCCGTCTGGGCCACCCCGAGAATCCTGGGGGTACTTTGGGCCAGGGGTACTTCGAGCAACACCCAGTCATGGAGACCTTTCTGACGAGCAGGCTCGAGCAACATGCGCGGCCGCAGGCGCCTGGGGGCGGCGCTCAACTTAGTCGGGCGCCTTAGGCAACTACGCAATGCGGCGCGCAGCTAAGGCGGCGAATTCTGCTGCGTTGCCCCCGACGCAGCGCAGGTTGCCGAGGAGCAGCAGCGCCTGCCCCCTCGCTTGCAGCCAGATTCAGGGGGGCACCGGATTTCGAATCTGGCGATGTTTGGTGTCAGTTCCAACAGCTGTTTTTTGTTCCCCGTGCACATGCCCACAGGAATCTGAACTTTGCTGCAGTGGCGGAGCGATGGGCAGAGAGAAAGGGCCCGGGGGAGGACGGCATGGAGGGGGGGGGTAGCAGAGGAGGGCAGGCGGGCGCATCGCCCTGGTTCAACACGCAGGCTCCGAAGCCTTCGGCTGCTCCATTTCGCATGGAGTTCGATGTCGTTTTTCAATGCGCTGCGGTGTCCGGAACGAGCCTACGGAGGCGACAGCTGGAACAAGACAGATGATGCCTTGAGATAAACGTGTCGAAGCTAGGCAGAGCTTTGGGCGAACCTGAAGGACTCCGTGACCCCAGGTGGGCGACCCGTAGCCCCCATTCTATAAGAGCTGGGCCTTGGCATCACTCAAATCACAGGCGGACGAGGACGACACGGAGGATGAGGAGGAGGAGGAGGAAGAGGAGGAGGAGGAGGAGGAGGAGGAGGAGTTCTGGATACAGCGACCTGGCCAGGAGAGATCAACTACATGCTACTTCTGCTGCCTCTTAGCATGTTCAATCATCATAATGGCTACCTTCTATCTTGTCTGGGCACTCTTGGGCTAAATTCGCAAGCTGCTGTGCTGCGTAGTACCCACAAGCCGTGCAAAACCAGACTCCCAGCTCCGCATCATATCTTAATGTATGGCTCTCGCTAGGGACCCCCACTCCCCTATATGCATCCGCCGCCCAGGAGGAGGACGAGGAGGAGGAGGAGGAGGAGAAAAAGGAGGAGGAGGAGGTGGAGGAGGAGGAGGAGGACGGTCGGTCGGGCAGTTGCCTTACGACGCGCTCCAGGCGACTGCCCGACCGACCGTCCTCTTCTTCCGCCTCCTCCTCCTCCTCCTCCTCCTCCTCCTCCCTGTCCTCCTTCTCCTCCACCTCCTCCTCGTCCTCCAGCTCCTCCTCCTTCCCAAAGAGAGAGAGAGAGAGAGAGAGAGAGAGAGAGAGAAAGAAAGAAAGAAAAACAACAAAAAAAAAGAAAGAGAGGTCGCGCACGCCAAAGGTGCATTGACAAAGAGGTGGGGCAAGGAGGCGCCGTGCAAGACATAGCAACAATCCACAGGCACGGACGCCCACTCACCGAAAAGGCCCACAAGGGGCACGACAAGGGAGGCCCACAGCTGCCAGCAACAACTTCAAGGGGCCCGTTTCCCCCCAAGACCCCTTCGCTTCATAGAGCGAGAGGAAGCTTGGGTCACCACGAGGGTCACTAAGGGGATGAGGGGCTTGCAAGTGGATGCTGAAGTGGGGTGGCTGTATCTGGCCTCACCTGGCTCACGAGTGGATCCAAGTGCCATACATGAATGGCCTTGGTGGGTTCGATAACTCCGCTCAGTGGCCGGCGCCGCCTTCGCACCAATCTACACGCCCCCTGAGCCACTCGGGGCACCCCTCACCCACTTACACGCTAGGTTGGGCCAGATAGAGCCCACCTTTGCATCCACGTATAGCTATCTATCCCTCAGCGCCCCCCGCGATGATCCAAGGAGGGAGGGAGAGAAAAAGAGAGAGAGAGCTGTGCCGAAGTGGTGCGGCGAGAGGACTGGCGAGATAGACATGAGGAATATGAGGATGACAGGACGACGAAGGGGATGACAGACGATAAGACCCCTTCTGCCTATGGCGAGAAGACAGGAGGAGTAGGAAGAGGAAAAGGAGGATGAGGAGGAGGAGGAGGAGAAGGAGGAGGAGGAGGAGGGGGGGAAGGATGGGGAGCAGAAGGAGGAGGATGGAGGGAAAGGAATCGGGGACCATGACCAAGACTGAATGTGGAAATGTCGTGTCGATCTTGGTCACCGTCCTTCGTGGTCAGCGCCAATGCGTGGATCACCCTCGCGAATCGGAGACGGCCAGCATGGGTTATGGTCCCCACGTTTCTCCCCGCTCCCCTCGAGAGAAGGGGGGAGGTGGAGGAGGATGAGGAGGAGGAAAAAGGAAAAGGGAGGAGGAGGAAGAGGAGGAGGAGGAGGGAGAAGGAAGAGAGAGGAGGAGGAGGAGAAGGAGAAGGAGGAGGGAGAAGGAAAAGGGAGGAGGAGCAAGAGGATGAGGAGGAGAAAGAACAGGAGGAGGAGGGAGAAGGAAGAGAGAGGAGAGGAGGAGGAGGAGGAGGAGAGGGATGAGGAGGAGGAGGAAGAAAAGGAGGAGGAGGGAGAAGGAAGAGGGAGAAGGAGGAGAAGGAGGAGGAGGAGGAGGAGGAGGGAGGAGGAATAGGAGCAGGAGGAGGATCAGGAGGAGGAGCACGAAAAGAACCAGTGGAAACCCAAGATGCATTAACGATGTTGGAATAAACCCTCCCTCCAAACACTCTCTTTATAGGCCCCTACACCGATTCATTTTTACTGGGGGAACTGCCTCGTTGGAAGACAAGTGGTTGAAGACCCTGCAGCATGCCAAAACATTGTTCTCGGGAGTCCAACGTCACGGATCAACCTGACTGTTATGTCTTGACGATCCTGAATCGCGCCAGCCTGCCATTCCTGGGACTTGAACACCGCGAATCAACATAACTGCTGCGCCATCATAAGCCTGAATCTCCTTCAAAAACACTATTAATCCGTGAAGCTCGAGCAACATTTTAAAACGAGTGTGCGCGGCGCTAAGGCGAGAACCACATTTTGAAAAGGAACCGCCCTCAATCCGCGAAGCATTTGCGAATGTCTAAGAACAATGTGCGCGGCGCTAAGGCGAGAGTCTCATGTTGAAAACGACTCGCCCTCAATCCGTGAAGCTCTTACAAATGTTTGATACGAGTGCGCGCGGCGCTAAGACGAGAGCCACATGTTGAAAACCACTCGCCCTCAATCCGTTCAGGTTTTGCAATCTTTCAAGACGGATGTGGAATGCCGGCCTGCCCTCCATCTGCGAAGCTGCTGCCAATTTCAAGCTTCAGAGTCATTCGGTGGTGAGGAACTCTTAGGCGAAACGCCCGGCCCGCCGTAAAAACTGGCAGTTGCACCAACCAAAAAAACAGCAGTGAACGGTTTTCGCTGAGGAGATCGACTGGAACCCCCGGCGCCAGGGAACCCAAACTCCACCGAAATCGGCCCGGAACCGGTAACCGGGAACCCAACCCGGGAACCCGGCCTGCTACCAACATCGGCGGGAAACTTTCGCCAAATCTTTCAACGTCCGCTAGGACCCCTACAGTGCAAGCACTGATTGGGGAATAAGGAGAAGGAGTGGAGGAGGAGGATCGATCGATCGAGCCTTGAGGCCGAGTTCGGGGTGACGCCGTCTGGAGCTACGCTGTGAGGCCTCGAGACTGCTCAGCCTGGCTGTGGTCACTTAGGACTAGGGGAACTGACGCCAGGGGGCGTCCGGGCCCTTCCCGCACCGTCTCTCCCCCACGCAGGGGGCTGGCGGGCGGGGTGGCACCCGCCCTCACGGACGCTCCCTCGCCTGCTGCCCTCGGCCTGTGCCCTGGGTTCGCCCCACTCTCGATTTCCCTTTGGGGGGCGTTTCAGGGGGTGGTGGAGGACGGTGCACCAGGAATCATTCAGGAAAACTCGGCCCTTGAAATCTGAAAACCGTTGGCGCGTCCTCGATTGGCGTTCCCAGTCTACCGCTCTGTACTAACTCCCAGAACCTAGTGCTGGCCTCAAAAACTCGGGGGATTGTCCTCCCGATCTTTCCGATTTCAATCCTCTCGATTCGAACTCTGTTTTCGTCCGAGGCTGAATTAGACTGGGGCGCGTCTAAGCTCGGGGTCTCATTCACTGTCGGCCCGGGAACTTCTACCGTCTGTTCGCTCGCGGCCTGTTCGGTTAGTCCAGCATCCTGCCCAATTCTCTCTCTCCAGTGCGCCTCTCGGAGCCGAGCCAATCTTCCGCGTTGACCCCTCCTTCTTGAGAACATTGCCTTGGATCGTAGCCAGCTTGTGGTGAGTCTCGTTGAACCTGCATTGGGATCTGCACTTCTCCTGGCCGCCCGCCTGATTGCCCTTGTCGCGGCGCGCCGTGAACACTGGAACGGAGTCCGCGATGCCCTCGTAAATGTTGTTCTGGCTGGCGGCCATGATGACGTCCGCGTAGTACTTATCTACCTCTTTGCGCGCGGCTCCGCGTTCGAGCGCCTTGCCCATGCGCGTGCGCACTTCTGTCCACGCTCGGACGCGTGGGCCCCCGAGGCTGCCAGTGTCGAGCTGCTGGCCATTCCGCGCGCGCTGGCGCAGGGCCTGCGCCTCCTCGTTGTGATTGCGCCCCGCCTCGAGCGCCGTAGAAGCGATGCCTGCTGTCGTCGGGTTCCCAGTGTCTGTAGCGCGGCCGCCGCCGGCTCTGCCTGCTCACGCGCCAAGGGGAGCGCGAGGCGCGCAGTGATGTCGAGCATCTGCTGGTTGGCGCCTCTCGCCGCTGCCGCCGCCTGGCCTCCTGGGCGCCCCCGTCGCGGTCGGCTGCGGCCCATCCTCTGGCCTGGCGCTGGCGCGGTCACCGTCGGCCGGGGCCTCTGGTCGCATATGGACATCGCGCGGCGGCTGCAGGAGTGGTCGGGGGGGGGGGGGGGCGTGCGCAGGCGTCGGATGTGGTCGGGCAGGGCATTGGTTTGCCGCGCGATCTGCGTAGCAATCCTCGTGACATGCCGTTAGCTAAATGATTCCATGCTGCCCCCTTGCATGCGAATGCCTGCTTGGAATTGATGCACTCGTTGTTGCTTGAAAAATACTGCTGCCAAGCGGTGGGTGTGGCGTGCCCGCATGATGTGGCTGCGCAGTGCCTTCTCGCTTGCAAATAGTAGCCCGCGCCCCCCGCCCCCGCCGTGTAAATCGCATGTCCATGGCTAGTTTTCTTGTGGAGCAGATTATTATTGTTGTTCGTCCGTCTCGGTCGTCGTTTGAGGCCGCCACCTTTAGTTTAACCGCTCGAACCTCTCGCGCGTCAAATAGATGCGAAATTTCGCGCACTTCCAGGGCGAAGAGTCGGCCGATTCGAACGTGTTCCGCCTCCCCGAAAGCGTTGCAGAAACTCTCCGAGACCCCGCATGCGCATCGAATGTCCCCCAAGAACCGTTCGGCCCAGGGGTTCGTGTCGCGTCGCAGTTCACCCCCCGTCTCTCGGCCCCTCGTGTTCTCGAGTTCGGGCTTTCCGACCAGTGCGACGATAAGTTGACGATGGATGCCTGGAAATCGGATGCCTGGAAATCGGAGAATGTTTGTGAACCAGCCCAGACGTCGCACCAGTTCCTCCTCCGCTGGTGGCAACCTTTGCCCATGGCGGAACACCTCCAGCGTGCTGGGGACTCGCGTGCTGCCGTCCTCGCGCCTACTGGTGGCTTGGCCTCGCACGGCCCGTCCCAGTAGCGCCCCCATCGCGCGCTGGAATTGCCTGCGATCGCTGGGCGTCGGTAGGTAGCACTCGACGCAGGAAAGTCCCGTGCTGATTACTCGACATATCAGTACTGCTCGTTTCCATATGTATGGGATGTTGGCTTTGCTCCAGAAGGCCCCGCACTCGTAGTAGCTCTTCTTCATGGCCCTGATACGTTGTGTAAGGTCTGCAGCGTCTGTCTGCGTCGTGCTGATCTGTGGTGCCAAGTAGCGCGCCGTTGGTGGCGTCCGTCCTGGTAGTCTGCACCGTGGGTCGCGCTTGAGTTGGTGGTGTGTCCGTCGCGCGCCTTGCCCCTGGAAGTAGACGAGGTCATCCTGCTCGTCCTAATTCTGGCGCGCGCCGATGCTCTGCAGTCGTTCGTTGAGGTCCTCGCCCACTTGGCGTGCTTGTTGTACCGGTCGCGGTGCGTCTGCGTGAGTTCCGCCCAGGATGATCTTGCGGAGGTCATCGGCGTACTTGGTGAGGCCCACGTAGACAGGCTGTTGAAGTAGTTCGCTGCGTCCGTAGAGTTCGCGGTCGTGGTCCAGGTGGTCGCTGCAATCTTGAACCCATCGTTGGATGCACGGCGCGACGCTGGCTACGAAAGTGCGCGCCATGCACGGGCCGCCGATGAGTCCTCCACAGTGTGGTTCTCGCCGGTCTGTCTCGGCATGGCACGTGGGAAGTCGCGCGTCTGTAGCGTTGTTCTGCCAAGTCCCAAGCGTCGTCTGGCATGATCTTGCCGTTGGCGGCGTCCATCGCGATACGCGAGCAGCATGCAAAAGCGTTCGCCATGTCCTTCAGCATCGCGATGAAGTTGCGGCCTGCTTTGCGTGCTCGGCACTCCACGACTGCCGAGGCCAGTGTTGTCCCCTCTCGGCGTCGTCCTTTGATGAAGCCATAATCACGGTCGGTGTGTACCCGTGCACGCGGCCGTCGCATGTTGCCTGAGTAGTATGCCTTGCCGATCGGGTCCACGATGTGGTAGATTATCTTGCCTGGTGGTCCTGGTATGTTGTTCTTCTTGACTGCTGTTGCCGTGATCTGGAGCCAGCGTGCTAGAGTGGTTGGTGAGTCGCATCGCAGCGAGTGACGCTCGAAGTAGGTCGTTGAGGTGGTTTGGTTTAGCCTGCGTGGTTGGCGATCCCAGGCCTCGGTGTCGTTGCGGTGCTGGTGTGGAGTCCCCCAGTAGTAGTCTCCATAGTTCGGAAGGCGCCGCTGCGGGTGGCGCTGCGCGTTGTAGTTTCGCTCACTTGAGGCTGTGCTTGATGCGTTCGATGTCCTGGTCGATTATCTCCTCTAAATCGTCATCGTCGTAGTATTGTGCCTCTGCGTGGGTTGGTATCTGCCCCAGTGTGTCGTCGTCCTGCTCCGCCCCCCCCATTCCGCCCATTCCGCCTGGTAATTTCCGGAGCTCCGACCATTCTTCCCGTGTGGATTGCGCTGTAATTTTAATCCAATAGTCGCGTTTCCGTGGCCCGTACCTGCCTCCCGCTATGAGTTTGGTCAACCTGCCCACACCCACTAAGTCCCTGCATTCCCGCGCCTCGTGCAAGTGGGTCACTCTGTCGTCCGTCAGCTTCTGGTACCCCGCCTTGCGCGTGGTCGCGCTCTCCCTGGTGATCTGGCGCGGTTGGTTCTCGATGCCGCACAGTCTTCTCTCCGTTGGGTCCGTCGGCGGAGTCTCAGTAGCAGCGCGAGCCCTCGGTGAAGACCCTGTGGCAACACAACCCGTAGGTGACGTCCCAGTAGCAGCACAGGCCGTCGACGACGACCGCGTAGCAACACAGGCCGTCGGTGGAGCCCCGGTAGCAACACAAGTCCTCGGTGGAGACCCGGTAGCAACAAGAGCCCTCGGTGAAGATCCAATAGCAACACAAGCCCTCGGTGGGGACCCAGTGGCAATACAGGCCGTCGACGGCGACCCCATAGTAACATTGGCCGTTGGTGGAGACCCAGCAGCAAACCCTCGCCCTCGGTGGAGACCCAGTAGCAACGCAAGCCCCCCTCCGTGAAGACCCATTAGCAACACAATCCGTCGGTGGAGACCCAGTAGCAACACAATCCGCTGGAGACAACCAAGTGACAATGCAGGCCGTAGACGACGACTCAGTACAACACAGTCCGTTGGTGGAGACTCGGTAACAACACAAGCCCTCGGCGTAGACCCCGTAGCCACACAGGCCGTCGGTGGGGTCCCAGTAGCGTAGGTGGTCGGTACCTTGTTGATCTGCTCTCCCTCTATGGGCCCGATGCGCAGTGCATCGCGCTTCCGTCTGACTTGTTCCCGTAGCGCTATGCGCTGTCGGAGTAGTTCCAGTCTGCGTGCTCGTAAGTCTGTATAAGCCGGTGTGGGTGGTGGCCGTTGTCCGTATATGGCGAGCGCCGTCTGTGCGGTCATATCGTTGATGTCCGCGAACAGTTGGTGAATGCCCTTTTTTGGTGGGTCGCACGTCTCAAGTCTAGTCTCCAGCGCTTCGATGACTTCGTTGCGATGCTGTCCGTGCCTGGCCGTTTGAGCAAGTAGATCCTTGTCCCATCTCACTGGCCTCTGTCTCTGGACTTGGTGTCGGCGCATCGTCAGTGTGACCGTTGCCTGTGCTGGAACGTGGTCGCGGTGGTATCTGCTGGGGGTCTGCTGTAGTCCGGTGCCCATGCGGGGAAGGGGTCCCTGGCTGATGACGTTGCAGGAAGGTTCCTGCGGCATCATGATGAAGTCGATGCAGCTCGCCGTGTGTGCCGAATTACGTCGGGCGCCATGGCGAGGTGCTGCTCGTGACCAGGAGTTGGCGGCGCTCCGCGTATTGGCGTGTTCGTTGTCCTGCGCCTCCTGGTAGTCGATGTTTAGCGCGGTGCTCGCCCAATGCCGTGCTCGGTGGTTTGTCCTCTCGCCGTGATGCCAATCCCGTCATTCAGGTCGCCCGCTGTGAACAGGAAGCTGCCTGGTGGGCGCTGTTGCGCACTGGCATCCACCCACTGTAAAGTCGTTCCAGTGTCGCGTAGTATTGCTTCTTCTCCTCCTTCGTACGCGGCTGTGGTGGTAACTCGTAGCCTATTATCGTCAGTCGAAGGGTGTGGTACACAATGTCGAGTGCGACGCCTCGGCCGCAGAGCTCACGTGGTGGGGCATGCACAACGAGTACGTATGCTCCTCGTGGTCGTCCTTGAAATGCCACCAGTATGCCCGTGCTGCGGTTGGTGAATAAGCCAGTCTGCCACCCTGCATCGATGTATTTTGTGTGTTGTAGTCGTCGTTGTTCTGGTTGTGCTCCTCGGCGGAGTCGTTGGGTGCCTGTCAGGATCACGACGTCGAAGTTGTTTGCTTCCTCTAGGATTTCCTGGAAGTGATCCTCTCTGGCCGTCAGCGGATTGTAGAGCAGCAGCGCAAGAGAGGTCATCCATCGCAGTGCTATCATGCGGGCTTCCGCCCAGTCAATCCTGCCTCCACATTTCTGCGGAATGACGGTGTGTAAGTGTGTCGTTGCCCTGACAGTCTCTTGGGCCCAAATGGCACCTGGAGGAGGAGGAGGAGGAGGAGGAGGAGGAGGAGGAGGAGGACAGCGCAGCAACGCGCCAGCGCGCCCGCGGGCGCCTGCACGAGGGTTGGCGCACACCACGCGGAAGGCTTGCTGGGCGGCCTCCTGCAGGGGGCGCCGGCTCAGGGGGTCAACCATCCCAGACATGCTCGCGCCCCGGCGATCCCAGACCTCAAACGTATGGGAAAACATAGGAACGTTTTTCCTCAATCAGTGCTTGCACTGAAGGGGTCCTAGCGGAAGTTGACAAATTTGGCGAAAGTTTCCCGCCGATTTTGGTAGCAGGCCGGGTTCCCGGTTTCCGGTTCTGGGTTCCTGGGTTCCCGGTTATTGGTTCTGGGCCGATTTCGGTGGCTTCTGGGTTCCCTGGCTCCCGGGTTCCCGGTCGATCTCCTCAGCGAAAACCATCCACTGATTGGGGTTTCCCTCTGGTGTAATTTTCGTTCGTTTGCAACGTTTTGCCTCTGCATGCCCTCGCTGGGCGTCGGGACCGTCGAAAGACGACTGGGGATGCAAAACGGGTCCTGGGGAGTGGGTGGAGACTTCCTGAGGTCCACGCCATGAAACAGTCTGAACAATTCTCCGCCTCTGCATACCCTCGCTGGGCGCTGGGACCGTCCAGTGACGACTCGGGGTGAAAAGCGGGACCTGGGGACTCGGTCGAGACGTCAGGTCCCCATCCTGAATCAATTCGAACGTCGGAAGTCTGGGATCTGGCACCTTCAGCACAGGACCCTAAGCTCGGGATGCAAAACGGGTCATGGGGACTCTGTCGAGACGTCTGGAGGCCCCCGTCCCGAAGCAATTCGAACCTTGGATGTCTGGGATCTGGCACCTTTGCGGCAGAAGACCCTGAACTCGGAATGAAAAACGTGTCCTGGGGACTGGGTCGAGACTTTCGTACAGTCGACCCGTATCGTTAGGACGCCCTGTAAGGATGCAAGGGCCTTGGAGGGCCACGTTGGCGTTTTTTTGAATTGGCCAGCGAGAGTCGCCAAGGATGGGCCGAAGGGGCAAGAATGCAAAGGTACCTTTGGGAAGGCTCCCCATCCTTAATCTGCGGGTTGACTGCGGGCCCCCGTCCGGAAGCAACTCGACCGTCGGGTGCCTGGGACCTGGCACCCCTGTGGCAGAGGGCCCCAAGCAGCCGTGCGCAGGCAGCGGGGGAAGGCAACGGGGGGCAACGGTGGAGGGCAGCGGGCCCCCGATTTTCGGTGGCCTGGCATCCCTCACCGGGCGTAGGATTAGGTCGGGCCGGCCCCCCTGAACGGGGGATCTTGGACGAGAAAAATAAAATACTCCAAAAAATACTCCCCAAATGCTCAAAAATGATATATATATATATATATATAAAAAAAAACATCGTCCCCTGACTATTTTTAAAATAGTTTCAAAGATTCCCCCTGTAGAGGGACAGGCCCGGCCTAGGCGTGGGAAGCAGAGGTGCAGTCGGTCCCAGGCCAGACCCACAGCCCTCGAGACCATGAGCCCCGCCGTCGGCCCAAACAAACAAGGGAGCGTTTTCGTGCTCGGCGTTTCGGCATCTCGCGGAAGGGCCGGAGGATTCCAAAACAGGTTTTTGGGGGAGGGGGTTTTCCAGGAGGGGTCCCCCAAGGGCTTCGCACCCTCTGCTTTGACGAGGTTCCGAGGCCCCTGGGGGGCTCTCGGCGGGAAAATCCCCTCCCCAAAAAACCCTTTCTGGAACCCTCGGGGAAGGGGGGAGGGGGGGGGGGTCGGGGTCTGGCACTGGACCTCTGCTCAGCGCAGCTGTTTGCAACAGTGCGTCCTGTGGGGGAGACTCCACCTGCGTGAGACAGGCGCCAAAAAACAGCCGAGATCTACTCCATGGGGGGGGAGGGAGTGCGAGGGCCCGCGCCGATCGGCAAAACAATAAATAAGAAAACCATCACCAGAACATCCATGGGTACCCTCCCCCCAGGATGTACAGGAACATCCAACAAACACGAAGAACACTAGGGCACCCTCCCCGAACCGACCTCGATCTTATACCTCGGTCCGACTGTACAGGCAAGCTGTTGCGTGGGGAACGCGACGACTGATATCTGGCAACCTTCGGCGTCTGGGGAACCTTCCTGGGATGAACACAGGGCACAGAAACAACTGCTTGGGATGAAGCGCCGGTCCGTGGAAGCAGTCCAGACCTCTGGGGAGCCATGTTGCGCAACAAAAACACGACGTCGAATGTGTCTAGTACTGACCTGGCATCGGCGATACATCGCCGACAGATCTGCCAAGGGCCAGACTCTGACGCACACGCTCGTGGGCTCCCGGATGGAAGACGCGTGGGCAACGTGAGCGTTTTCAGATTCGGCGCTTCGGCATCGGGCGGAAGGGAGGGGGTCTGGCTCTGGACCTCTGCATTGTGCGACTGTTTGCAACAGTGCGTCCTGTGGGGGAGACTCCACCTGCGTGAAGCAGGCGCCAAAACAGCCGAGATCTACTACACGGGGGGGGAAGGGGAGGGGGTGTGTGCGATGGCCGCCGGCGCCGATCGGCAAAGCACTAGTTAATTGAAACAACGATCACTTGGGGGTCGATGTTTCCCCTCCTGGCCAGTCCCGCCAAATGATCCTCGTCGTCTGGTGTTCGGAACTCGGGTCTCTGACGCCTGGCTCGGGACGGCCGGGGCACCTTTTGGGCTCCTCTCGGCGAGGCGCACCTGCTGAACAGCAGCTCGAAGCGGAACAACCCGCCGAGAGATCAACCGAAGCGTCCGAGAACCGACCAGAACATCCGACGAAAACGGCGAGTCCCTCCCTGTCGTTGCTTGCGCTTCTCCTCCCTGTATGGGGGAGCAATAGACCCCCCCCACTCCCGTCTGGCCCCCCCTCCACACAAGGCAGCTGGGGGTGGAGAGCACTTGTTGCACCACCTCTGCGGAGCATCCTCGCCATCGGCTCTCGAAGCTCTCTGGCCCAGCCCAAGGCGGGACAACGGGGCTGTCGTGTAGAAATGCTCGTGCTGCTCTCTGGACTCTCGAGTGTCGTTGGCGACCAGAAGGAAGGATATGCTGAAGTCTCCCAGGTCCTAGGGACAAATGATCCAAGACGCTGACAAAGGGGCAACGCGGCGTCTGCGTCACATTGCGTGTTTTTCCATTGATTTTCTTCTGCGGTGCTCGATAAAAGCACGTCATGTTTTTCTTCTGCGATGCTCGGTGGAAGCACGTACACGGGACAAACATTGGCTCGCCCAGTACTTTGCCGGCCCTGGGTGTGAACTCGCTGGCGAAGCTTCCTCGAGCCTACACCGTTCGACGCATACGGCCAGTCCCCCCCTTGGGGGGGGGAACACCTGGGATCTGTTCGCAAGAATTGCCAAGCGCA